TGAACCCGGTGGAAACTAAAGAGCTTGAGCGACAAGTGAAAGACCTCATGGGCAAAGGCTACATTCGAGAGAGCCTCAGCCCGTGTGCCGTACCCGTGCTACGTGTTCCCAAGAAGGATGCGACGTGGCGAATGTGCGTAGACTGCCGCGCCATCAATAACATCAGGATCAAGTACAGGCACCCGATCTCATGCTTAGATGACATGCTTGACGAGCTGAGTGAAGCCACCATCTTCTCCAAAGTTGACCTCAAGAGTGGGTATCATCAAGTGAGAATGCGAGAGAGAGACAAATGGAAGACGGCTTTCAAAACCAAGCAGGGGCTGTACGAGTGGCTAGTCATGCCATTCGACTTGACTAATGCACCAAGCACCATCATGCGACTGATGAATCAGGTTCTAAGGTCTTACATTGGTAAATTCGTGGTAGTATATTTTGATGATATACTAGTATACAGTAAGAACTATTCGGACCATATTAAACATCTTGAGTTTGTTTTAAAAACACTTCGAAAGGAAGGCTTATTTGCTAACCTCCGGAAGTGCTCATTTTGTACTAACAAGCTTGTTTTCTTATGCTTTGTAGTAAGTGAGCAGGGGCTACAAGTGGATGAGGAAAAGATCAAAGCTATAAGAGAATGGCCAACACCCACTACCATCGGGCAAGTGCGAAGCTTCCACGGGCTGGCCAGCTTATATAGGCGGTTTGTGCGAGACTTTAGCACTGTAGCAGCACCACTCACTGCCGTGATCAAGAAGAATGCACCATTCAGTAGGGGATCAGCTCAAGACGCCTCTTTCAGCATGCTCAAAGACCGGCTTACACAAGCGCCATTATTAGCTCTTCCTGACTTTGACGAGATGATTGAGATCGAGTGTGATGCCTCCGGAGTTGGTATTGGAGCAGTACTACATCAACGCAAGAAGCCCGTAGCATTTTTCAGTGAGAAGCTGAGTGGGGCTACGCTGAACTATCCTACTTACGACAAGGAGTTATACGCCTTAGTTAGAGCTTTGGAGACGTGGCAACATTACCTACTGTCCAAGGAGTTCATCATTCATACTGACCATGAGACCTTGAAGCATCTACAAGGGCAAACAGCATTGAATAGGAGGCATGCCAAATGGTTGGAGTTCATAGAAACTTTTTCGTACGTGATCAAGTATAAGAAGGGCAAAGAGAACGTGGTAGCCGACGCTTTATCAAGAAGACTTTAATATCCACCATGGAGGCCAAAGTTCTCAGGTTTGAGCACATCAAGACGTTGTACGACACTGACCCGGAGCTAAGTGACGCTTACAAGGAGAGCGGTACGGGAGATTTCAAGCAGTTCTACATACATGAGGGCTTTCTCTTCAGGGACAAGCGGCTATGCATTCCTCAAGGGTCTATGAGAGAGCTAGTGCTTAGTGAAGCTCACGGTGGCGGGTTAATGGGACATTTTGGGGTGGATAAGACCTTAGCCGTTATGGTGGAACACTTCTATTGGCCCCACCTTTAGAGAGACGTGAAGCGGTTCTGTAGCCGATGCATCACTTGCCATAAGGCTAAATCCAGGATACACCCTCATGGTTTATACTTACCATTACCTATACTTAACGCTCCTTGGGAGGATATCTCTATGGATTTTGTCTTAGTTTTACCCAAGATCAAACACAAGGATTTTATCTTTGTCGTTGTTGACCGGTTCTCTAAGATGGCCCATTTCATCCCATGTGAGAAGACCAACGATGCTACTCAAATAGCTAATCTATTCTTCAAAGAGGTGGTACGCTTGCATGGCATTCCCCGTACAATTGTATCAGACCGTGACACCAAGTTCCTTAGCCATTTTTGGCGAACCTTGTGGAGAAAGTTAGGTACCAAACTGTTGTTTTCCATCACTTGTCACCCTCAAACGGATGGCCAAACTGAAGTGATAAACCGTACCTTATCTACTTTACTTAGAGCAACGCTTGGTAGAAACATGAAAACTTGGTTAGATTGCATTCCATTCATTGAATTTGTATATAACCGTGCTACTCACTCCGCTTCTAAGTTGTCCCCTTTTGAAGTTTTCTATAGAGTTAACCCCTTGTCACCAGTGGACCTCATACCTATTCCACAAACGGAGCAAGCTAGCTTAAATGGTCTAAACCGGGGAGAAATCATCAAAAAGCTTCACCTAAAGGCAAAGGAGAACATAGAGAAGAAGACGGAAGAGTATAAGAAGAGAGCGGATAAGGGGAGGAAGCAGCTGACCTTTGAGCCTGGAGATTATGTGTGGCTTCACATGAGAACGGAGCGGTTTCCACACAAGCGCGCCTCTAAGCTATCACCAAGGGGCGATGGACCGTTTAAAGTACTATCTAAGATCAACAACAATGCTTACCGTTTGGAGCTGCCAGGTGAGTACAACATTTCCTCATACATTTAATGTTGCTGATCTTTCTGTTTGTGATGCAGGTGACTCGGTTTTGAGGTCAAAACCTCCGGAAGAGGGAGGGAATGATGAGGACATCGATCCAAACGATGACATTAGCCAAGTACCCGTGGTTCATGAGGCCTCCATGATACGTTCTAAGACAAAACAGCTCAGAAAGAGGTTCAATTTGTCCGTAGAAAGCATCATACAAACACTTGGACCAGAAGAACTCCTTTTGATTGGAACGGTACCAGATGAGCGTAATGACGGTACAACGGGTTGTATTGCGGGCCGTAATGATGGTACGGAGGGTCCTACCACAGGTCGTACCGACCATAGCCCACATGACGACATCATAAACGGGTTTAACCGCCTCGCCAAGGTAACATCACGGACCCCCTTCTACGTATGTTATCACAAGCTAACCATGCAGGAACAAACACGTTGGAGGAGCCACTTATACACCAAGACCGCACCATATCAAGCCTAAGTGGGGAGGTGCAAGAGAGCCGTGATGACTCGTGCAAGGACATCAAGAAAGCTACGGTTCAAGACTCATCAAGCTTCGCAACGAGGAGACAACAAGAGCTCAAGAACACCCCCGTACCTGAAGCAAGCATCATCACCACCCACCATGACCGCGGCTACTTCACTAAGGTACTTTCAATTTATAACATCATGCAGGTTGAGTGACATGTCCCAGCATTTTCCAACAAGCTTCAAGAGCACCCACATTCGAGTCCCAGCTAGAGTCAAGAAGAAGCGGCTTAGTTATTTCTTTTTTTTTAGTTTAAGTGAACTTTCCTTTTATAGTTTCTTTGCTTTGTACGCTTTAGCTAGCTTTTGTGTCGTTTTCTTTGTGTTTTGTTTTGTTCTTTTGCGTTTTACTTTCGACCTTAGGGCTAGCTGGTAGGACCATTTATAAGGTCCCCTTGCAGCCGTGTATTCTTGGTTACCTTTGATTATCAATAAAAACGCCGAACTTTCTTCAACGAGTTCTTGAGACACCTTTCTTACTTTTTGTTTGATTTCTAGAGTGGATTCTCTTGAGGTTAAGCCGTGTTGTATCAGAGTCTCATCACAACTCTGTGGTACACTTCGATCTGCCAACAAACCCCTTTTACTTAGATCCCACACGAGAGAGCGACCGCCAGCGTGTTAGATCCCCATCAACGATCATCAAACGAGTACAAGAGAGAGCGACCACCAGCTTGTAGTCACCATTCCCCATCTGGTTCATATAAGCCTCCCCTGAGTCTTATATCACTAAGGCGGAAGAAACCGAATCATTCGGTAACAGAAGCGATGAACTCAAAACCACAAATCAGGCGTTTCCCATCCTGCATACTGCTGTTCCAAGCTTGGAGAGGCAGAAGATAAAGAATGAGAGCAAACTTGGGGAAAGATGAGAGATGGTAACGCAGCCAGGTGATGAGATGGAGAGGCGGCTTGAGGACTTGCGAGAAGGAGATGAGACGAGGTGGCAGAGGCGACGAGGACCAAGAGAGAGTCGAAGCTTAAGGAAGAATCTGGCGGATCAGGTGGTTCCGGCGGAGCGTGGGGGAAGAGGACTTCAAAAAAAGCCAGAGAAAACTTACTCGACGATGGTGGATCCGGCGGAGGCCTGAGCCGCGACGGAGAAGAATCAGCTACCGAACCCATCGCAGAGAAGAGGAGGACAGAGAACTTCAGGTAGAGGGGGAGCAAACGGCAGAGCTGCGGCAGAAGGGGCTCATCTTGACTCGACGGCGGCTACCTCGGGGATCGGGCTTGGGAGAGAAACTAGGACGAACTTGGGGCCATTCTTTTTTTATTCTCGTAGATACACGTGACACACTACTAAACTCTCTCTTGTGGATATTATATTTGTATTGCATTTGCTTTGAGAATTGTATAAAGGGGAAATTGGGTCGTATAACTATATTAATAAGCTAAATTTATCAACTAACCATAACAAAATAGATACTATGATATTCTCTATATATTATATAATATATACAAAAATATCCCTCCTCTTTCCCGTCATCATCTTCTCCTCCTCTGTTCTCATTGCCCCACCTCTTCCCCTATTTTCTCTTCTCTTCCCCTCTCTTCCCCTCCTCTCATCTCCTATTCTCTCCCGTCTTCTTCTCTCCCTTCTTCGTTCATCTTCTCCCTTCTTCTCCTTTTCTAATTTTTTGCAAATACTATATCAAACGAAACTATATTATAAAATTAAGATATAGTATAGTAGCTATTATAGTATAGTACAGGAATATTTTCGACAATTAATAATAAACTATAATTAGTTTATAAATTATTCATATACTATATTCTTTATTTTAACTATTAATATGATTATATATGTAAAAAAATTTGTGTAAGCCTTTTCAAAAAAAAAAAAAAAAAAAAAAAAAAGCCTTGTGTAAAAACCGACCGGTCAACTTGTGAAAAAAAAAAAGCTCAAGAGAGAGAAATCGTGCCGTTTCTTGTATTGGAAACCCGAACATCACGTTACTTTTTTAGCGGCCGGTCCAAAATTCCAACTCTGACGAAACGGAGTGGAGAGGGGAGAGAGCTAACAAAAACCAACGAGGCGATTCGAAAGAGAGTGACGATGACTCTAAAAAGCTTACTGAAAACCCTAAAGACAGCCAAACGAACTTACCCATTTTCAGTCCACAAGCTCCTCATCGATTCTTCCTCTATAAACCAAACTCTCGATTCACCGAAACAGCCGATCTCCGATCTCAATCCCTCCACCCTTCGCCGTATTATATCCGATCCCGATGTCAAATCCTGGAAATGCCTCTCCCTCTTCCGATTCATCCTCGAAAACCCATCTCTGTTCTCTTTTTATCCTGATCTCAGAACTCACTTGTCTCTCACTCTCCGTGTCTTGTCGGAGAGAAAGTTCTCAGATGCGCAGAAGCTCTTGAAACCCGAAATTCTCAGGTACCCTTTTCGCGATATCGCCTCTAGTGGCGCCATTGATGAATGTGGCTTCAAGAAGAAGGTCGTTGCGAGGTTTTTTAATTCGATGCTTACGGTTTATTCAGAAAACGGGAAATTCGATGAAGCTGTCGAGGTTTTTGAGTATATGAAGAACAACGAGGTTACGATCGATGAAAAGGCTCTAACTTCGCATCTCCTGAATCTCAAGAAACGTGATGAGATTGGATTAGCTTACGATTTCTTTCGTGTAATGATTGCGTCGGGGTTAGAAGATGTTGTATCTGTGTACTCTCTAACGGTTGTTGTTTCGGGTTTGTGTTGCAATGGAGAGATCAAGAGAGCAAGAGAATTGGTGGAGGAGACACGTGTTAAGCCTAATATCGTTACGTTTAAGTCGATGATTGATTCTTGTGTCAAGAAATGGGATTTTAAAGAGCTGGATTTGGTTCTTGAGTTGATGGAGAAGGAAAGTGTGGCGCTTGATCTTGATACTTACAAGATTTTGATCGATGGTTTCGTTAGCTACGGGAAGATTGAAGAAGCAGAGAGGTTGGTTTCTACAATGCACGATAAGAAGATGAGAGTGGAGACTTATCTGTATAACTTGATCATCAACGGGTACTCTCGATTGGGACTAGTGGAGAAAGCGTTTGAGCTACAGAGCGAAATGAGTTCTCGTGGTGTTACTTCCAACAAGGAAACGTTTTGCGCGTTGATGAATGGACTATGCAAAGTTGGGAAAGTATGTGAAGCAATGAGGTTGTTGAAGGAGCTGCGAGTAAATGAGTTTGAGATTGATGAAACAATGTATGTTACGTTGGCTGAAGAGTGTTACAGAGGAGGAATGATGGATGAAGCTTTGGAAATGGTGACTGAGATGCTTAGAGAAGGATTTGTTCCTGATGGTACAATGTTTGAAAGATTAGGTGATGCAATGTTTGAAGTAAACAGAGAAGAGGCACAAATGATGGTTACGTTTGTGGTTAAGAGCGGTATCAAACCAAAATCTTGTTTCTGGTTTGGTCTGAAATGAAGATGTGGTCGTGGAGGAGAAAAGACTTACCTACTGTCTTATTACTTAAAGACTAAAGGTGACACAATTGTGCCCTTGCCAAGTTTCAAATACAAAAACTCTTTTGAAGGATTCAGATATTAGACAGCAGAGAGAGGGTTAATATATTGGTTCTGTACATCTCAAAGATAAGATGCAAATGTATATCGGTTTACGCTATACCAAAAGTTAGTTGTACATTGGAGAAATCTTTCATCTAAAATCGTAAAGTTTCTGTTTTTAGAAGATGGTGCCTAAAAAGTTGCTGTTTCTGTTTTATTTAATATGAATGCTCTTCTCTATTTGCTCTGTTTCTCACCATTTTGGTACAGTTGAGTACAAAACAAAACAAGTTTTATTACTCTTTTAACAAAGTAGCAACAATAAGAACGATTCTTGATCAAAAAGATGATTATTTTATTATTACCGTTAATTAAACAAACTACTCATTTTCCCCAGAAGATAAAAAAAAAAAACATTGCAGATAAATGGGGACAACAAATTCAATTACGATAAAAACTCTTCTGCAAATTTCTCATTACACCATGAGACCCTGAGGAGGAGCAGCAGCAGGAGCCTTGGGTTTAGGTTTGTCGACAACAATGGCCTGAGTGGTCAGAACCATTCCGGCGACAGAAGCGGCGTTCTGAAGCGCACATCTCGTCACTTTCGCCGGATCAATCACTCCAGCTTCCAACAGATTCTCATATGTATCGGTCATGGCGTTGTAACCAAGCTCCCACTCGCTGTACATAATCTTCTCCACGACGACTTCTCCTTCGATCCCCGCGTTCTGCGCGATAAGTGCGGCCGGAGCAACCAATGCCTGTGTGTGTGTGTTCACAACATAAACACTCACAAGTTAAGTCACAATCGAACCAAACCGAAAATAACCGATCCGAAAACCAAACCAGAACTTAGCACGGTTTAAATGGATTCACTCTTTCTATGACCGAGAAACCAAAAAACCAACACCAAACTGAAAAGAAAAAGAGCAATTTAAACCAAAATCAATTTGAAAACTTGTGATATATATTTGATTTAAAACCTGTATATTTCTATAACCGAAAAGAAAAAAAAACGGTTTAAACAGAAATTTATTTGAAAATTAGTGATATATATATAGGATTAAAAACAGACATCCGAACCGAATCTGAACCAAACATTATCTTAATACGGTTTTTCACTTTTCTATAACCGGAAACCCAAAAAACCGATACCAAACCGAAAAGAAATAACCAAGTTTAAACCGAAAAGAGCAAACCGATTTAAACCGAAATTAGTGATAAATTTGATTAAAAACCGAACCTGAATCAAACCATTTTAAAAACCGAAAACCACAAAACAAACAGATTGAACAAAAGACTTGGGGAATCTTACCTTTTGTACTATATCAGCTCCCAAACGTTCATCAGCATCCTCAAGCTTCTCCTTAATGGCAGGAATACAAGTGGAGAGATGCACCAAAGTAGCACCACCACCTGGAACTATCCCTTCTTCAATAGCAGCAAAAGTCGCGTTCTTTGCGTCCTCTATACGAAGCTTACGGTCCTCGAGCTCAGTCTCAGTCGCTGCTCCGACTTTAATGACGGCAACACCTCCGGATAGTTTAGCGATTCTCTCGGCGAGCTTCTCTGAGTCGTAAACTGAGTCAGTCTCGAATAGCTCCTTCTTCAGCTGAGCGATACGAGCTTGAAGCTCGTCCTTGGAAGCTGCATCAGCGATAAGCGTAGTCGAATCTTTGCTGATTGTGACTTTCCTTGCAATACCTAACTGCTCAATGGTTGTGTTTTCGACAAGCAACCCCATGTCAAGAGCTTGGTACTCAGCTCCTGAAAGAAACAACGAAAGAAAGTTAGAGAACACAACAGAGAAGAAACTAAAACCAAAGCAAGATCTTTGCATATGTACCTGTCAAGATTGAGATATCTTGAAGCATGGCTTTTCTTCTTTCTCCAAATCCTGGAGCTTTAACGGCGACAACATTGAGTACACCACGGAGTTTGTTCACGACAAGAGTCGCTAAGGCCTCTCCGGTTACATCCTCTGCGATGATTAGCAACGGAGCTCGAAGCTGAGTGGTTTTCTCCAAGATTGGGATGATGTCTTTGATGGCAGTGATCTTCTGATCAGTGATCAAGACACGAGCGTTCTCAAACTCAACTAGTAGCTTCTCAGGGTTTGTAACGAACTGAGGTGAAATGTAACCTCTATCAATCTGTAAAACTCAATGTAGGAAGGAAACAAAGTTAAGCCAGTGGCAGAAATCAAATTTGGGAAATGAAGTGTTGCTATAAAGAACAAAGACTCGTTATATACCTCCATGCCTTCTTCAACTTCGACTGTAGTTTCGAAAGAGGATGAAGATTCAATTGACAAAACACCATCAGGTCCAACTTTGTCAATTGCATCAGCAATCATTGTTCCCACAAGCTCGTCGTTTCCAGCAGAGATTGTAGCCACGGCTGAAGAACAAAGCAGAATACATATCATGAAACGGATTCAACGTTGCATCATAAGGAAAGTCACTGAGAGAGAGGAAAAAGTTAGTACCTTTGATGTCGTTACGGCCTTTGACAGGTCTAGCTTTCTTCTCAAGCTCTTCGATCAAACCTTGAACGGTCTTATCGATTCCTCTCTTGAGGGAAACGGGATTTGCACCGGAAGTGACGCTTAACAAACCGTGTTTGATGATTTCACGAGCGAGGATAGACGCAGTGGTTGTCCCATCACCAGCTGAATCATTAGTCTTACTCGCAACCTTTTTCACAACAAGAAACAACAAGAAACGCACCAAATCAATCACCATTGAGAGAGAGATAACAACAAAAGCTTAAAAGCTCTCAGATTCACACACTAACCTCACGGATAAGCGCTGCACCAGCATTCTCCATAGCATCAGGTAACTCAATAGCTCTAGCGATGGTGACTCCATCGTTCACCACTTTAGGGCTTCCAAATTCATCCAGCACAACATTTCTCCCTTAACAGAACATCAAATGAATAAACACACCAAGGTAAGTCAATTTTGAACACACACACACACACACACATTGAGATTGTGAAAATGAAGAGCTGCTAATTGTACCTCTAGGGCCAAGAGTGAGACCAACACAATCAGCAAGCTTGTCAATACCAGCTTGAAGAGCAGCTCTTGAGCTCTGGTCAAAAGCGATTTCCTTCACATTTGCTCTAACACTGAAACGTCTGTTCGCTTTCCTGTAGCTTACTCTTTGACCTTTCTGCTGATTTCCACCACTCAGCTTTCCCTGCACTCAACAAGATAAGAAAACGCTTTAAACCAGATTCACTAGATATTAATCTCAATCGATTTCTTCAATTTCCCCAGAAGAAAGTAACCATTTTTTCACCAAACCCAGAAACCACTCAAGTATAAAAACAAGCTGAATTGAGAAAGTAACCATTTTTTCACCGAGCCCAGAAACCACTTAAGCATAAAGATAAGCTGAATTGAGAAAGTAGCCATTTTTCACCAAACCAAGAAACCACTAAAGGATAAGAACAAGCTGAACTGAGAAAGTAACCAACTTTTCACCAAACCCAGAAACCACTAAGGCAATAGCAATAGAATGAAATTAAAGGTCAAATCGAAAGGAGAGTATCAAAGCAAGTAATGGAAGATTAATACGGAAATGGCTGATATCGGAAAAACCATTCACCTGTCGTGAAGAGCAGAGTACGGAGGCGGAAGAGAGAGCGTTTGCGGACGCCATTTTTTTGGAGACCGGAGCAAACGAGAACGTTCTGGATTTGTGTGGATAAGGAAATGCTTTTACTCAAACGAAAGTGAGGGAGAGGGTTAGGGTTTATTAGATAAATGAGAGTAGCTGAGAGAGGATCCAGAAGATTCTTTGCATTTCGTAAAGATGAACCGTTGATTTTAAAAAAGGCTTTCACCTACTCTGTTTTTATTTTCCCGAAAGCCTGTTTGTTTCACTGTTTATGGCCCAAAATGCAAAACGGTCCTTAGAAACAAGAAATTGTATAACAAGTACACTTTTTCTCATTGTTCAGTATTATATTTAGTACATCATTCTATTTTTCCGAACTATAGTAAAAACTTAATCCCATTCTTATTACTTCATATATATTGATTCTGAACCGGATCTTGTATTCACATCCATAAATTTTAGATAGATGATCTGGACTATACAGTACGAAGAGTGAATAAATGTGAGGACACATGACTTCTAAATTCTAATAGGTGAGGAAGCTAAACCACTGCAATAACTACCGCAGGTGACCACTAACTAGTAACTACCATTTGTAATTTAATTTGCTCAGAAGAAAACCATCATTAAATTTTATTGAGTGAGACAGTGAATAATTAAATAGTTTAATTGTAATTTGTGACAATGTACTAAGACCATTTCCATCTATGAGAACTTCTATAGATATCTCAAAAAAGAAAAAAGTTACTATTTTAATATAATTAGAGTTTTAAATTAAATTTTAATCTAAAATATAAATACTAATCAATCAATTTATCACAAATGTTTTATGGAGTTCTCAACAATTTTTAAAAGATTTTTAAATGAGAATCTCTTCTCACTCTATCTCTTATTATTATTTTTTTCTTATTTCTATCATGAGGGTAAGGAATGCTTTTCAAGAGTTTGAATTAATATGACGAGGCATGACTTACACTCGGGTGACGAAGCCAAACTATCGCAATAACTACCGCAAATGACCACTAACTACCATCTCTAAATTTTGAGTGAGACACTGAATAAGTAAATGGTTAATAGAGACAACCCTCATAAATTCAATTGGTAGGTAAATTTATACATTTGATATTTTTATGTTCGATCGTTCTAAACACAAGGACAGAAGTCTATATTCCACGACCACTAATTTGTAGATTTAATAGATTTGACACAAAATAATTTTCTGATCAATTTAATCAGTATACATTTGATATTTTGATGTTACCAATATCCTTGAGACTATATATCTTAAGCATATAGTGCAAAGTCTCATATAAATTACTGTGATATATCATCGAATATGAATAACTCTTAAGCCTACTCGTTACAATGCAGCTAAATATCCTTCATTCTTAATTTGGGTTCTATTATTTTTTGGAAATTAAAAGTGGAATGCATTGACATCAAATAGACGAGCTCGTCTCAGCTATCAAAGTGTCATGAATGAAGATCGTCGTCAATCATATGTAGTCTCAGAACATCCCTTTTGGCTCTATGATCTCTTTGTTAATGAGAGAACCTCTTCCTGTTGATTGATATTATGTAGTTAGGCAATTGCTTTGGCCGAGTAGTAGTAACTCATTGTTTTATAAGGGTCCCTTAAAATTAAGTTAAGTTGGGGCTTTCTTGAGTTGTCGTGTTTGTTGATACGGGGCTAATACTTTAGCCTATCTTTTGGGTCGATAGTTTTCGTATATGTAATCTCGATCCTTTCTCTTGTTTCTATTGATATATAAAATCCAGATGACCTAAAAGAAATATCATATAATTTGAATCTGAAACAAGAAGTTTAAATAAGAAAATACTAACATTTGTTGTCATGCTCATCTTCATATAAGCATGGCATACATTTCTAGGAATTTGAATTTTTTGTAACTATTTTATATAAATGTTAAATGATGAAAATGGGACTTTGTTATAAATGCATTCCTTTTCGGTCGCATGTGATCACACTCTCATCATTAGCCCCACTTACAACAACCCCTTAAACACCTATCCAGGCTCCACCAAACCATCTTTGTATATGTTTCATTACGTAACAAGTACTATATAACCTAGACCATTTATTAAATACACGATACAAAGTTTTTCACTAAGAATAAAGTAATTCTCCGAAGTCACCACATTTATTATTCTACTTCGACCTTTGAACCTAGTACGACATATCCCGTATTCGATTGACCATCAAGATCAATTCAAGCCGCCGTACCATAGCATGTACAGGCTTTTGCATGATGTTTCAAAAACTCAAGGTTTTATATACGGTCTTATTTTTCACGACTTATTATTATAATAGCAAAACAAATACTACTAAATATGAAGGCCATTTTCGAAAAAAAAAAGAACAAACAAACAAACACTACTAAATAATTATGTAACTGTTTGGCGCATCAGTAAGTTTTTATTTTCTTAACATCGGTTCGGTTATTTATTTTGGAGATGAGTTCACCCCTATTTGAAACCAAGTGATTATTTGACGGCATTAGATATTTTTGGAACATTTTTTTAGAAAAAGAAGGAAAATTAGATATTTATTTACAGTTTTCTTAAGAGTAAAACGATGTTCCAAAACCTTTAGCCTAAAAGGCTTTAGGTAGTATTTGAACAGATGTTTTTTTAAAAAATACTTGTTTTAATCGTTTTCTTAATACAAGACAAAACAGAAACTTATCATTTTATTTTGAAAATTTTAAGTAGCCTTATCAAAAGAGTGGAGGCACAAAACATGGGTGTATGAGTTTCTTGTCATCATCTCACTTCTATTTCATATATTAATTTCATACGTCAACTATTTACATACGTCTATAACAATTTCTCTCCAAATCAGTGGATAAATTAGATGTACTAGCTCCCACGAAAAACATTTTTTATTTTTTATTTTTTTTTATTTTCTTTTCCTTCAATTAAACTTGGAAGAAAAATAATAATATAAGTATTTTTTTTTAATGGGATAGAAATATCAAACATCCCCTAGATATCCGGGGATTTCATATATTTTATGTATATAATGGGAAATGGAGTCACATGTGTGTATTCTAATACCAGATCGGCTACTTATATTGTCTTCTTGTGGTTGTATCACAATTTGTGAATAATAAGATAACTAATATAGTGGAAGATGTATAGTGTGATGTTGGAAGATAGCACATAGGTGTGTACACATGACACATATGCAAACCCACTCACATTGTCATAGTTCCCACAATCGATGGGTTGGTGTTTGAGGCGAGTTTCGATTTCTGAAAGTTCATTATAATACATACTCTCTCTGTTAGTAATTCTTTGACACCTAAACCAAAATTTTATTACCTTTTTGGCTACCTGAAACTCACTAATTATAAATATAATAAAGGCTAGGTAGGTCTGGTCATCGTCATATATAGGTGGATGGATTATTCTTGCACATATAAGGATATTAAAATGGATTATTCCAGTTTGTGGAGGTTTAGTGTCGGTGATAAATCCGATATTTGGATTTCATATTTTAGTTGACATTCTTATTTACAGTTGAACTTTGAACATAGAATCCTACAAAACATAGCTCTCTGTTTATATGTTAAAATAGACATCAACGAGCAAAAAAGTATGACTGTCGCATACGGTTATGCAATCCAAAAACCTGTTTTATATGCAGCGGACTGATTTCCCCAACACACGAAAACCTGATTTATGAACCTTTGCTAAGTAATTTTTTTTTTTCTAAACCCTCTCATTTTACAAAACGAAGGAGGATATTCAACACATGCAAAATATTCAAAATTCATACTTTTACAGTACAAATTTTATAAATTAATAATTAACATGATAAAATAATAAATTTCTCTAGAATGAAGTTGAACCAATTCAAAATATAGCATAATTTAATGTAATAACAATATAATAGATTTTTTAAAAAAATATTGTAGATATACAATCTTATTAATATTATAAATTAATAATTTATATATATATATATATAAACTTACTTCCATAAATGTTGAGGAACAAATTGAAAACTGTTTACAGGGTATGTACTAACGCATGTTGTCCCAAAATGAGTCGGCCCTTCAGGAGAACTAAAAAAGGATTTTTCTTTCGAAGATACTTTGATGCTTAAATTAGAACGCTCCATTGAAAATATATAGTCGGGACTATGATGAATGATGATGGTGTAGTTTAGTGAGGGTGGATGGACCATTGAGAGAGTGAGGTTGGAATTCTCTCTCGGCGAGGATTGAAATAGAAGGTTAAGGAGAAAAGAAAAGCTTATCTCGGTAGGTGTTCCTTTCGGAGAATGTTGAACATATCTTTTTCAGTCCCTGTGTAAAGCTGGGGTGGTGTGGTGAGCTCCAGAGAGTCTTGATGATTCTCTCCTTCTTTTTCCATATTGTCCATCTCTCTCTTAGTATTGACTACATTCCTCTCACAATTTCCAAACTCTAAAAAAAGTCTCTCTCCTCTCAAAGTTTTTGGCCCTCGACCTCCCTCTCTCGATTGATCTTCGTTCTTTTTTTATATTTTTTTTGCTCTGACCCATCACATCGGTGCAGCGTATAGCAAGAGCAGGTGGGCTAGCGTAGTACGCATTAGACTTGAAAAACTCACCAACTATTTAGGCATAGTCGGCTAGAAAGCTGTTGGGCAAACCTAAACAGAGAAATCATTATTATAATGAGGTCACCAATAATGCGCCGCTTCTTGAATTTACACAGTAAAAATTAATCCAATAATAAATATAACTAAAATAATTGTTTAATATTATTGAGCTTTTATACAATAAAATTCATCCTTAATTGTTTTTTTTTTCTTGATTCTAGTTTTTTAGTGTTATCTTGTTAAACTACATTAATGATTTAAAGTATATAAATTTAATAAGAAAAAAGGTTAATGTTTAGTAAGAGAAAAATAGAAAAAGTAAGAGAAAATCGTTTTTCAAATGAAAAATTTGAAAAAATATTTTTAGACGCTTATTATATTTGTTTATATATTTATTTATATATGAATGGTTCAAATATTTCAAAACTATG